TGAGTCCTTAAGGAATCCATTTTGAGGCACCCAAAATATAACAAATTATGAGCTTTTGTAGGCAAAAACCCACTTCATCAGATGAATTGGAGTGGAAATAACAGAATCCAAGAAATAAATATATATATTTTTTTCTTGGATTCTGTTATTTCTTGGATTCTGTTATTTCCACTCCAAGTCATCTGATGAAGTGGGTTTTTGCCTACAAAAGCTCATAATTTGTTATATTTTGGTTAGTCTCTAAGGTGCCACAGGACCTCTTTTTATTTTAAGTTGTTATCCAGAAGCACTGACACAAAGGAAAACTGGGACCCATTCCACAAAATGCACTGCTCAGTGGTCTGCCCGTTTGTTCTATTATTGCACAAATATACTCTGTGGAAATGGGCTAGCCCCTCTTGTGCATCACAGAAGCAGTATTGCCTGGAGACCAAAGGCAGCTTCTTCCTCCACAACAGAAGGCACTGAATTTCACCATGTCACAGCATAAAACAGGACAAGACAAGTGAGGAAAAGAAGGAGCAGCGGAGAAAGGCTGGAAAACAACAGGGAAAGGAAAAAAATAGAAGGAAGGAATAAGAGGATGAAAAACAGGAAAGAAAAACAGGGAACCCAAAGAAAATAAACTATCACATCACTGGTGGTGTCTGAGTACTGCCCCCTGAAAGTCACATTCCAGAATCGGAAGTGCTAGGAACAATATCAAATATCTAAAAGGGTGTCACAAGGAGGAAGGAGAAAATGTGTTCCTCTTGGTTTCTGAGGACAGGACAAGGAGTAATGGGCTTAAAGTGCAGCAGGGGAGGTTTAGATTGGACATTAGGAAAAAATTCCTAACTGTCAGGGTGGTCAAATATTGGAATAAATTGCCAAGGGAGGTGGTGGAATCTCCCTCTCTGGAGATATTTAAGAACAGGTTAGACAGACATCTGTCAGGGATGGTGTAGACAGAGCTTGGTCCTGCCTTGAGGGAAGGGGGCTGGACTCAATGACCTCTCGAGGTCCCTTCCAGTCCTATGATTCTATGAACAGTAGCATCGCTGTGATTGGATGCAGGGGGAGCGCACGGCTCTCACGGTTAATGTTGTGAGCAACCAGCATGCACCTCACTTCACGGGCCCTGACTTTTCGTTTATCTCACTTTAGTAATATTGGTAGGAAAAAAACCTATGATGACGGAAACCGGTAGACTCTGGCTACCCTTGTGTGTGGACAACGGCAAACAAACTATCTGGCGGGCCACACGGGGATTTAAATAATCCCAAGGCTTACACAATCGGTCGGCAAAGGCTTCCCCAGCCGACCGATCCGTGACTAGACTACCGCGCTGTGCCGGATCAGCTGATCATTGGCACAGCACAGCGGCCATGTTTATTTTAATGAAGCGGGGATTATTTAAATCCCTGCTTCTTTGCCTCTGCTGGGTAAACTAGTTTACATGGCTCCGTCGACAGAGCCATGTAGTCTAGACATACCCTAGGAGTCTAATGCGCTGTTTTACAGCAGTGGTCTCCAACCTTTTTACACCCAAGATCACTTTTTACGTCTCAGAACAGGCGAAGATCTACTGCCCCGCCCCTTCCTTGAAACTCCGCCCTCTCTATTCTGCTGTCTATCACTTGCTATCCCCAGCTCTTATACACTCTGTTAAACAGTTTATTTTTAAATTATGCAATATATAAAATTAAAATCACATTTCTGGATGTGGAAAAGGTGATGCTGGCTTGGGGAGGGAGCTCCAGGTTGGGGAGTGTTGGGGTCAGGTGTAGGGTTGGGGTAATGAGCAAGCCACAGACTTGTGGATATGAGGGTGCAGGAGTTTGGGTTGGGGTATGTGAAGGGCTCAGGGCAGGGAGGTTGGGAGTATGATGGGCTCAGGACACAGATTTGTGATGTATGGAGAGTGCAGAAGTGTTGTGGCAGAAGACTGATGATTTGGGGGTGCAGGACTTTGGGGATGTGAGAGGGTCAGGACAGGGGGTTCCAGTGTATGACAGGCTCAGATTTGGTGTCTGGGGGTATGTGCAGGAGTGTTATGATGCTGCCAGATGGGGGCTTGGTCCCAATTGGGGGCTCGTTGGCCAGGCTTCATTTTTAAATAAAATATTATGTCAAACACAAAATGTTTCAGTGTTGTATTTATTCATGAGAGGGAACCTGTTTTGAGTCAGGGGTCACTGACCCACAGAAAAGTCAATTGGGGCCACACAAGTGAGATGCAAAAAAAACAACCTCTCCAAAACTCCCCAAGCCTCACTAATGTGGCCCCAACTGAGCTGGTGGGAGGAGGGGATAGGGTGCTGGGGTGGGGGTAGGATGCTGGGTCAGGGTACTGGTTGATGCTGGTGGATGCTGGTGGTTGCTGGGGCAGGGGACAGGGTACTTGTGGGGGAGTCTGGCCAGGGGGAGGGGACAGGCACAGCTGGGGCCAATACCTGGGGATCCTGCAGCTGCACACTAGGTCCAAGTTTCAGGAAGTACGTGCGCTGCTTCCCCCTTCCCAAACATCCGGCGCGTTTCCTGAATAGCCAGGTCTGTCGCCAGTGAATTCCTTCCCACTGCTGCCTCTGCGCGAGGGAGGAGGGGAGGAATAGGAGTCCCTGGACTGTGCCAGCTCCAACTGCTCAGGAAGCGCATGCATCCTGCTCCTCCGCTCCCCACAGCAGTCGCACACTTCCTAAGAAGTTGGAGCTGGCGTGGTCCGGGGACTCCTACTCCCCCTCCTCGTGCAGGAAGGCAGCAGGGGAAGGAAGTTGGCGGCACGTGATAGACCCGGCGTTTCAGGAAACGCGCTGGCTGTTTGAGGGAGGGGGGAGCAGCCCATGCACTTCCTGAAACCGCAGATGTGGTGCACAGCTGTGGGACTTGCCCCGACCCTGCAGGAAGCTGGCGCTACCTTCATAGTCGCTGGAGGTAGCATCAGTGGGGGCTGCTTCTTGGGGGAGGAATGGGGGGGTAACACCTCTCGATTGACTGGTTGAGCCCCCCCCCCGATCGAGCAGTCGATTGCGATTGACGGGTTGATGACCAAGGTTTTACAGCACAAGAGGAGAGAGCTCCCTGGTCACCAGTAAAGACCATTCCAGCCTCTCTCACACAGTCAGCTGCAAACCAATACCCATCTGCTCCAGTAAGGCCCATTGAGGGAACAGTGAGGGCAAAGTGGCTTCATCCCTTGCACCAATCTGAACCATCTTGAGCAATAAAACAACCTTGATCTCAGTGTCAGCTACTAGAGTACAGATTTTGAAACCTAGCCAAAAACACTGTAAGCAAAACTCAGCATGCTCAAAAGCAGGTACCTCATTGGTTGTGGGAGGTACAGCAAGCAAGCAAGCAAGAGGAGTAGCAGCAGTGGCAGCAACAGCTTTAGTATCCTGGCCAGGGCTGTACATACTGCAGTAGAATCTGAAAACATCAGACAGCCTCATGTACTCCTAAAAATCCACAGTGAAGAAGGAGAGTTAGACTTATGCACCAGTCCCCGACCTGGTACCAACCACAACACAGCAGGAAAGCTCCATGAATGCCACAGTGCAGCCGGCAGTGCTCTTCTACAGCCTGAACCCCTCTTCCATAGAGAGTGCCGCCTGTGGGGACTATAAGTCCTAGCATGCAACACTTCATCCTGAAAGAGCAGCACTGCAGGACAGGACTTGTCATCTCAAGAGTGCCTCTTGGAAGGGGGCAGAGCATGCTGGGACTTGTAGTCTCTGAAGACCCAAACAATGTGTAAGTGACTGTCTTATTTAGAACCAGTTCCCACCTCTCTCATTATTTCTAAATAAAACACATTGTTGCTATATAAAAACCCAGGAAAATAGAAGAAATTAAAAGGATTCTGTTGAGGAGCTATAGTGTTGCAGAATGGGGGGAGGGGGAGAAATACGTACAAGTCATTTTGTTGGGATTTAAGCCACACTGCAGTATGGTGCGAGTGCAAGTAAACCAGGAAGGCAAACTGTCTAGAAATAATAGGAATGCATCTGAAGTTCAAAGAGCACCAGCTGTGAGGAGTGTGACTAATCCAAATGCTTCAAAGCTGCATGAGAAATACGCAGCTCTGGATCCGATTCGGGCCCGAGAAGCTATGTCTACACAGCAGCATTTTTCAGAAGAACTGACGTTATTCCAAAATAACATAGTCAGCATCTACATAGCAAGCAGTTATTTCGACATAATGTCGAGCTGGAAGACTTCTTACTCCAATATCGGTAACCCTCATTTCACGAGGAGTAAGGAAATCGGAGGAAGAGTGCTCTACCTCGGATTTCCTGCTGTGTATACAGCGCCAAAAGCCAAAATAAGCTATTTAACTTAAGAGTGCGGAGCTTATTTCAAGTGTAGCCCTGCTGTGTAGACATGCCCTACATGAGCTTTTTTCATGCCTACCTAAGGGGACCAAAGTCACTGACGGCAACAAAAGCCCATTTAAGAGATCTGCTGGCTTGCCTGTCTCCTGAATTATTTATAAGACCCTGACAAGGTGGCTGTACACAGCAGTTTGGCCCACACGCTGCAGAACAATGGAAGCAGTGAGCAAGCAGGCACATGCAGTTAGTTCTGTTACCTCTTGTATTTTGGGGTAAGAGTGGGCAGAGAAAGAAGGACCTAAGGAAGTACTTGCTGCTGGCAGGGCATTCTGGGGCTTAGTTTCCTCTACCAAGTCATAAGGCTCTGAGATATGAAGGGTTTCCTGTTGGAGGGTAAAGGTCATAAGGATAAAGCAGGCAGAGACACACTGAGATCAAAACAGCTTCAGGCAGAAAGCAGGGGCACTGTCTAGTGCAGTGGTTCTCAAACTAGGGGTTGAGACTCAATACTGCTGGTGGAATGTCAGGCAACGGGTCTCATTGCTGCAGGGTGATCAGGTGACCGTAGGAGTGCAAAGGCAGGCTTTCTGCCTGTCCTGGCACCACAGATTGTGCTGTGCCCCAGAAGAGGCCAGCAACAGGCCCAGCTCCTAGGTGGGAGGCTCCATCCACTGCCCCTGCCCCTGCCCCTGCCCTAAGCACTAGCTCCTCACTCCCACTGGCTGGGAACCTGCTGCTGGCCCCTTCTGCAGTGCCAGGAGAGGCAGGAAGCCTGCCATAGCACCCCTGCTGCACTGCTGACTGGGAGCCACTCAAGATAAGCTCCTTCTTCCCCAGCCCTGACCCCCCTGAAAGCCAGAGCCCCCTGCAACACCCCAAAGACCTCATCCTCAGCCCCACTCTGGAGCCCACACTCTAGCCAAATTAAGTTGGATTGTGGGCAGCAACAATTTTCTTCCACTGGGTCATGAGAAAAAAAGTTTGTAAACCACTGATCTAATGGAGCTTCCAGCCAGAAAGCCCTTGCAGCTTAAGGGCCCAGCTGTAGGGAAGATTTCATCCTGCAGACCATCTTAGTGGCATGACTGAAGGCACCAGGCATCATATATTCCATGGCTGGATTGTGACAGCTCTACCTTTGGAGTTCTAGCCACAAGAGGAAGGAAAAGGGTCACTGCCCTCCACAGTGTAGAGCCAACCCTCCCTGGAAATGCTCCTACTTCCCACAACACATTCACAGCTGCCAATTCCAATTGTGCACACACCATGGCGGAGTCTGTGGAAGAGCCAGCCTCTAGCTCACTCTGCCCCTCCCCAAAATAAACAACGGTATGCACTGAGAATCACGTTGGTGGGAGAGAGAGTAAAGGGCTACGCCCCTCCTCCCATGCACACACTGAACACCCTGGTTTTACATGATCAGTGAAAATCTTGGGAACTTGCACAGAGCCAGTGCCATGCTCTTCCTCGACACGTGCAGCAAGGATCTGTGACATGGAATGCCAGGCCCACCTGGCAAAGCTTCATTCTCTGCTGAGCAACAGCATGCACTGAGCACACTCCTTTCCCCATGCAAGGTTTGCCCTTAGGATCCCCGCCCTCACACATGCCATGCCCTCTTGTGTCAGACCCTAACAAACTGAACTGCTCTGAGGGCTGTGGTGGGTTAGCCAAGGCCACCACCTTTTCAGGTGCCAAAGGCAGCATATTCCCAGGAAACAGTGCTCTGCTCCCAAGGGTGAATCAAGTTCTCTCCGTGCCAGTGTTTGGGGCCAACCAGATAAGACTAGTCTCTAATCTCCATGATGTATGACAGACTTAGGACCCCAAAGTAATGACAAACCCAAGTGCAAAGGAACAGCTCCAAACCTGGACGTTAAACTCTAGTTCCATGGCTCTGCTCCCGGAAGGATTTATCAAAAGGAACCAGGATCCCTGGTCCAATGAGAGACTGTCCTGCCTGCTGCCAGTGTCTAGTGTTTCCACTGTCAGGGCACTGGTACATTCATGCATTTGTGCCAACAGCCACATTATTTACACCTTTTGAAAGCCAGAAGCAGGGTGGTTGGAGTCCCAGGCAGGGATGGCTCTGTGAAGGGAGGGTAGTTCTAGTGACTAACCATCCCTCTTCTCCCTTATTACCTCTTTGAGTGCAGATGATGTTTTGGGGAAACTCCGTCTGCCAGTGACAAGATGGTACCGTCTCTCCAGGGAGACAAGCTTCTCCTTCTCCTGAGCACACAGTAACAATGAAAAAAGGGGTGATAGCAAGAGAGTTAATGACAGCCCCAAAAAGGGTCCGAAAGTGAGGCCAACACTAGGGCAGCCATAGTACCTTGCCTGCCAGCACCCACATGGACACAGGCCCAAATCATTCACATTTCTGCCAAGACCCATTCTTAGGTTTGGAGCAAGGTGTACAGCTGGGCTCCCAACTGAAACCTTTCCCCAGGGCACGAGGGACAGTGTTTGGACACAGGCCGGCTGAGGTCTGGGCTTGCTACCAGGTCAGTCTCTCTCAAGGTGGGAGGGGTGAGACAAGCTGCGCCGACATAGCATAGCCTGTACGGTTGCCCTTTCAGTTTCCAACAGGCCATGTGGAAACTGCTGGAAAGCAGCGCACATGTGCAACGTGGTCTCATTCGAACCTGAAAGATGTAGCTGTGTAGAGACCCGGTCCAGCCCCGCGTAAGGCACTGCACTCTTTATTAGTGCGTGTGTCTGGCCTGGCACACACTCCCCCAGTGAATCCCTTTCCTCCGCTCCAGGCAGCATGGTTTCAGAATGTTACCTTCTGCAGCAGCTGCAGCATGGCATTCTTCTCCTTGGCAAGGCGCTCAGACTCCTGGGCAGTCTGGAGACGTATGTGATTGGCCTGGCTTTCCAATGCAGCCAGCCGTTCCTTAAAGAAAACAAGGCATGAGTAAGATGGCACCAGGCCCTGCAGGGTGGCTTGGGAAGAAGTAGCTATCTGGGAGGGAGAGAGGAAGGGAGAAGCCTTACTCAGTCTGGGCAGGTATTTGGAGCCTCTCTGTCCACACCCAGAACAGGCACAGGGCTGGCTTCGGCCAGAGACAAGTGTGGGAGCTGATGGTACTTGGGAGTCAAAGGGCTGTTGTGAGCACAGGGACAGTCCAGGGCTTGGGGCAATAAAGGAAGGGGCTAGGAGAGCAGATCAGAGTAAATCTAGGCTGGGAGAGGATTACAGGTGAGCTCACTGCAGTGGATACTGCTGGGATGAGGGAGAGCCTAGGCTCCATAGCCTTTGCCCAGGGGTCCAGGGCCCTTTCCCCACCTTCCTCTTGGCGATACTGCGATGGCACTCAGCCTTGCTCTGTAGGATCTGCTGGCTCACAGTCTCGCGCTCCTCCTCCAGGCGACTCTCCTTTTCCAGCTGCTGGAACTCCAAGTCCTCAAACAGCTTGGTTTCTGTCTCCAGGGCCTCTGCCTCCTTCAAACACACAACAACGGCTGCTCAGCTCCATCTGGAACAGAGATGCCTCCCTGCTAGCTGCTCCTCCCTGCCAGAAGTACCAGGCAGGAGCTGCTCTGACAAAAGAGTAGTCCCTGAGAAAGCCAGGGACAAAGCACCATTTGCTGCAGTAGGAGGGAAGCTCTAAACTTTCCTTTTGCTTGTTGGGAGGCACAGGGCAGTGCACAGCTGGTGACTCTGACTGAGCATATGATGGCTTCCTGCTCAACAGGAACCTGCAATCATGCCCAGCCCAGGGACCTACCAAGGCAAGGTCTTCTGTTCCACACGCTCACACTCTTCACAAAAAATGCACTCTCCCCCCAAGTCTCGTTGGCCCAATCCATCCCCCCCCAGTGTTTCAAATCCATGTTATGATCACACCCCAGGAGAGAGAGGTCCAGACCAGAACGTTCCCTGCTGAATATGGCAGAGAAAGAAAGACAATAGCTTGGGGAATGGGATGATGTGCAGGGCTCCTGCACCATGGCACTGCCCAGGCTTGCCATCTGCTGGAAAGAGAGGTCCCAGCAGATCAGCCTTGGCAGGGGCTCTGCACAGCACACTGATCTTGGCAGAAGAGACTCATACAGCAGATTTGTTCCCCTGCTTTTTTTTCTTGCTTCAGGGGGTAGCCGAATTAATCTGTTACAGAAAAAAACAACAAATGGTCTGGTAGCACCGTATAGACTAACGAAACACGTAGATGGGATCATGAGCTTTCATGGGAACAGTCCACTTCTTCATATACAGGCAGTCCCCGGGTTACGTACAAGATAGGGACTGTAGGTTTGTTCTTAAGTTGAATCTATATGTAAGTCGGAACTGGCGTCCAGATTCAGCCGCTGCTGAAACTGACCGCCAG